CCCTCTTATTACATTTATACGTCCCCCTTATGGGCGACTGACAGATCTGTTTCATTATTACCTATACCATGTATATTTATCATTATGTATACTGTATACATTTTTGTCTACCTCTGTCTCCCCCTTTTTTTTTCCCCCTCCACCCCCCCTTCCCCCTTTTTAGCCGTCACGTGTATATGTATGCACAGTGTGTGTAAAATATATATACTTGCTTGTCTTCAGATACATTTGTTATCATAATGTACTCAATCATTGTGCATCATAGCCCCCATTAGTGGTGCACAGAATTAGGCATTTATTTATCTATTTATTTATTATTGATGTACTAATTCATCTACGTAGCTTGGTTCAAATACTATTTGTTGACCCCCCCTATTATTTAGTTTATCCATCTATTATTTATTAATTCTTTCCAAACACCATGTACATTTCATATATTTTTATAATTTAGATCTATTATATTCATGTTCCTTAGTGACCATCATGTAGCCTACTGGGGTGTTCTCACCACTTTTTCTGCTTGAGGATCTTTCTCTCCCCCTCTCCTCTTCCACCCTTCCTCACTCCTCCCTTTCTCTCCTTTTACACCCACATGTTTTTTCACTTTTATAATTTTTATTATCAATATTTTTTAATAGTTTTTCCCCTGCACATTCCTGTGCCATTTTTTATTTTTATCTCTTTTATCTTTATTTCTTCCCCCTTTCTGTATTTTATATTGTTCCCACTTTGTCCCTACTTTTTTTGGTCTTCAGGAGGCGGGAACTTCAGCCCCCCCTGGCCGCCCCTACATCCCATTTTATTTGGCTCTCCTCTGTTCTTGGTATCGGTCTTGAAGAAGGAGCTTTGCGCATGCTCTGAAACGTGTCACGCCCACGTCACTTTCCGGTTTGCTTTCCCCTGGACAGCGTTCGTTCCAGTGTTCTCTCACCTTAACCTTGACCTTAACTCGATCAAACACATTTAGGATTGAATTAGAGTGGAGACTGTGAGCCAGTCCTTCTCATCCAAAATCAGTGGCTAACCTCACAAACACTCTTCTGGAAGAATGGTGAAACCTTTCCATAGACACACTCCTGAACTTTGTGGACAGCCTTCCCAGAAGAATTGAAGCTGTTATAGATACAAAAGTTGGCCAACTCAATATTGACCCCTACAGACTAAGGCTGGGATGCCAATAAAGTGCCAGGTGTCCCAATACTTTTGGTAGTATAGTGTATATCAAGGTATGCTGTGTAAAAGGAAACATACAGGGATGTGCAATTTATATTGTGCAACACCCAGGACATGTAGTTCCAGGAAGGTAGTGTGGTGTTTTTTTTTGCTCTTTTAACATTTAGGGCAAGTAGGGCTTGTCAGATGGAAGGATTCAGGTGGCTGAGCTGTTGACCGATTACTTCCACACACTACTCTCTAGTACCATCCCCTGGTCCCCCTGCGAGCACTACTCTGCTATATACCCCAGGCTCCACTTGCCCATCTGTGGGCCCAGTGTAGCAGAGTTCCGGCTGGTAAAGGAGGACGGAGAGCAGACAGACATCCACTCTACTTCCCTTCTTGTCCTGACGTGTGTAACATCACTTCAAAGGTCCCGTTGACAGATTTCCCAGCCATCAAAGCATGTATGTAATGCAAATCTGCACTGCATTACTTTCAATGGAGCACAGGGAAATATGCAGTCTTTTAGACCCTGCATGTTTCAAAGAGAACCTGCTACCAAAAACAGGAGACTTTGTCCATGTCATGAAATTTTTTTTTTTTTTTTTTTTTTTAAATACACCCAAGCACATTAACCCCACCCCCCCCCCCCCCCCCCCAATAAATGCACACATCAGGGTGCCTCCTATACATGAAAATTGCGACACATGTTGGGTACATGGTGCAACCTCATCTTTTAACAAATTGGGTAATTTATTGCCATTTTGCTCCTTAAAAATTAACTTCTGTGTATTTTTAATAAAGTTTTGCATTTTTACTAACCTTTGCAGTAGTATTGTGTGACAAAAACAAAAACACCTACACACATACCACTATTTTATCCTCTAGGCCTGTTTTTCAGAATATATGTTTTCTGGGGTTTATGTAATCCTCAGGCCTTAAGTGATTTAAACCCCCCCCCCCCCCCGCAAAAAACAAACAAAAAAAAGGCTCTGGCAGCAAAAGGATAAGTTGACTTTTAGGCATGTTAAATGCTCCACCCTAAAACTGCGTGAAACATGCATCATGCTCCTGCAGTGGCTTGGCTATCCAAGCCCACTGACAGCAGTATGGGGAGAAGTTCCCCATATAGCGGTCATTTTGACAAGAGTGCTGCTTTGTGGGGCTCCTCCCACACCTTTCACTCAAGGTTCTGTGAATCAACCAACTACAAGTACCAGCATCCTTTACGGATGTTGGCTTGTAGTTCTTAATGAGCTACCACAGTGCTGTTGAGCACACGTAGTTCATTAATTCTTGTTAATCTGCTGATCGCTGGTGCAATGCTTTCCAGGGCCTGCAAAATAATTTTTTTTTTTTTTTTTTTAAATTTAACTCCTTTAACAGAGCAGACATTGGAGTATTATTTGGCTGCTCAACATGTGCTTGTACTGAGTACCCAAGTACTTCCATGTGGGATGATAACCTGAAGGAAGTTTTTTTTCCCTCTCCTCTCATTTGGGGCTGAAGCCTCATTTACTCGCTCAGCAGATCCAAGTCTACTGAGCCTTACACTCCTTTCTGCTGAGCACCCAATTGGTGCTCATTAACGCTACAAGGTCTCTCCCCTCCCTGCTAGCCCCCAGCTGTGGTACAGGAGACTGTCAGGGAGGCGAGGCAATAAACAGCGCAATGGTAAAAATATAAGTTTAGGTTGAAATAAAGCCCCTTTTGTTTATAAAAGCTCCAGCCATTCCTAAAACCACCTGATCTAAATATCACTTTTTTTTTTTTTTTTATCAGAACAAGTAGATTGTCCATGACAATTAGATTGGGACCTTGATTTAGTCCCTTGGGCAAGTAGTTTTTTCAAAAATTTCCACATCCCTGCACACATGTGGGGTGTTTCTCTCAAATTTGACTGCATATTTGGAACTACACTTTTAAGACTGAATTCCAGAAACAAACACAATGACCTCCCCTGCAGTGGGGCTGTACCCACAATGCAAAGCTTGACTGCTTATTTTATGCCCAGGGGACTGGGTACAGTGGTTTACATACCCAAAATGTTCACTCCTACAGGCTTCCCTTTGCAGCTAGACTGGTCCTTACAACCTCTACTCCCCTGCACTTCAGTGGTCTAAGGCATTTGGACATCAAGACTGATGCAGTGCATTGGATGTGAGGATGCTGAGGAATAATCCACTGTTGGAGCAGCGTTTGGCATAGAGCAGAAGGTTGGGTAAAAACCCCCACACCCCATCTTGCAGTGGTAAAAGCCCTGCAGCAGCAATTCTCCTCCCCCCCCCCCCCCCCCCCCCCCCATTGCAGTCTGTGTCCCCCCACCCCCATCTTCCCCTATTTATCTTGTAATTTCATTGTGGAATTTATTCACAATGACAATAAATTAAACTATCCTGGTGACCACTGCCACCAGGTCTGAAAGTTAGTAAAATCCAACATTAATAGTTTCCACCAGCACAGATATTCAATTTTTTCCCCCTCACTGGAAGATTTGACAGTTCACTTCCCATTTTATTTAGGAGATGGGCAGGGAAGAGCAAGCTCTCAGTAGGTATGAGCTCAGGCATATTCAATACAAGTCTAAATCCACCTGAGTGAGCCCACCAAAAAGCTGTCACTGTACTGGGCCAATCATAAGCAGCCAAGGCATTCCCCACAGCCATATCTTTGTGTGCAGCAGGAAATGCCCTGGCCATAGAGGATTGGTCCCATACAGATGTTAGCTTCCTTGTGGGCTTGCTCAGGTAGGTTTGGTTTAGGATTCAAAAACATCTGAGCTTACCACTACTCCCCACTAAAATGAAAAAGACAAAAAAACCTCAAAACACCCCACAGACTTCTAATCATGCTTTAGATTAGAAATACAATTTATATAGAAAAAAATTAAATATTTATTATAATTTAAAAAAAAAAAAAAAGGTTCAAACACACACCATGATTTATGTTGCATGTAAAACAGCAAGGCTAAATCTGTATTGGACCCACATGCTGGACAACACAGAAAAAAAACAAACAAAACCACACACAAGTGATTTAAAGTGCTTCTTGTGGCTGGAATGTAGAAGCTTAGATACTAGGTTGTGCAAATGCTGGAGTAAAGCAGAGGGAGTCTGAGATCTCCCAGCCACAGGACATTGGAGTGCAGACTGTTTCCTTCTCCTCGATTTTATATAATCCTTTCTGCAGTAGCTGAACTGCCTCCCTAAAAAGAAAGACAAAAATGTCACCATTAGCCAATGTAATTCTTAAACACAACATCCTTTACCAATACCGGTTTTCAACCAATCTGTCAGATTTGTAGACATTGATATTGCATAGCCACAAAGGTTTTCATGCCCTCGGGGTTGCTCAGATTTTGGAAAGCTTGTTCCTTAAAAAGCTCAGTGTAAACATGACTTTTACCAATTTCCCTTCCAACAGCAGGGAATGGATGCGCTGGCTTTTCCATTTTAGGTGCTGAAGGGCCTTGTCTCAACTCTGATCCCAACCCAAGATCAGTGTACTCAGACACAGGAAAAGCAAATTAAGCACAATTCATCTGGGGCAATTTGCTGGGTGCAGGCAGAGAATCTCTGCCTAGGAACTGGTGAAAGCAGTTAATATGTGCACAATCTGTGAGACAAGAGATCAGCTATATATAATCTACTCCTGGAGTAGCGGAGTTATCTATAATTCTGATATGTTTACATAAACAGATGACCAGCTTTTAAGCATCTTTAAATTTGCATATATTTTGCTCTAGGGTGTATCCAGTAAACAGCATTTAGAAGAAAATAAAAATTCTGCTTAGGTGGGGGTGGGAGGAAGGAAATGTGAAGCAGCTTAACACTTAATTATACCCAACAGTGGTCGCCTTACCAGGAAGCACGAGGCATTGCATAATGGATATGGGTTTTTAGAAATCCATTGAATGTTGATGACGCTGCGACTGTGTAGGCTCCCATGTTTTCAAATAGCAACCAATCACCAACGTGTAGCTCAGGCAACTGAATATGCTCAGCAATTTTATCCAGACCATCACATGTTGGTCCCCATAAACTACTGGTGTACACTGGCTGGTCCAGGGAAGGTTTCTGATAGAAAGACAAAGTGGATATGATTAGTAAACGCTACCAGTGAAAGTGACCTTTTAATATGACATCCCATCAATAAATATGATCTATGAAGTTTTTTTTTCAGCAAAAAGGATAACATTTTTTACCTTATGAAGGATGGGTTTAGGATGGGCGTGATCAAAAAAGATGCAGTTGAAGGAACCATAAACACCATCATTAACATAATACATGATGTTTTTGTTGGGACCAATTTCTTCATCTAAAAAAAATAAAATTATAAAAACAGCATTAGGCTATGTTAACATTTGTGCATCTGCTTTTTTGGTGTGCTCCCTTTAGTCTGTGGGGCCAAAAACAATTTTGCACCAAGAGTATTGCCAATTGCCAAGCTGCATCTCACTGCAGATATGTTGCATGGTGTGAATGGGCTCCATAAACAATATCTGGAATCCCCAGGTTATGCTTTGTCACAGAACAGCCAAAGTTTAATAAAAGTCAGGTGTGAACAGGCACTTCTCAAATGCTTTATTGCACAACATGTAATGCTGTTATGTGACAACTTTAGTTTTAAGTGGGACAGGGTTTATTAAAGTGTTTAACTCCCATTACAGAGATGTACTGCATATGAAAACACTTTACAGTTAGCTTACCATCTGATCCGCAATTGTCCAACTGGACTTCCTTCTTGGCGATGATGTTTACAGCCAATGAGAAAGCAGATGCTACGTAATATCTTCCTGGCTCAGCAATTATCTCTACAGTAGAACCTTCTGGGAAGTACAAGTCCAGTGCTGGATTTATCATAGCTGCAATCTGTTGTAGAAGGATAAGCTGGTTAGCATCTAATCTTTTCAAAATTATTTTGCCTTAAAAGCTTAAGTGCTGTGAAAAATCTGTATAATTTATCACCTCTTCAAATCGAACTTTTGCATCATCTGTCCCTGGGAATCACCACCACCGATATCCAGCAGCCACATCTTGTATCCAAACTCAGATGCCATTTCAAAGACTAGTCTGGCATCTGAAATAGACTGCACATATGCCTTGGGATCACTGCATCCACTGCCCACATGAAAACTGAAAAAAGAAGAAGTTTTTACTTAAAATATGGCCAACAAAAGTAGGTAGATCAAAACACATTGCCAAAGCTGTGTGCTTACATGTCAAACAGAAGAGACCTGTATGTCAATGAGGTAAGTTCTGTCAAATATTCAAGCTCTACAAACAATCACCATTCATTAAGTAGAACAGATTTGCATATCTCTATCCCTCTCTCCATGTCGCAGGTAAAATATTTAATGTCACCATTTTTCTAGGTAAAGAAATTTCTAAAGGGGCTATTGACATGAAATTGTCACATGTCAGTTATGTGTAATAAAATGGAATGACACAGGGAAAGGTATTGAACACATGAAAGGGAGGCAAAAAAAGGGCATGGAAAGCCAAGACACCAGCTGAAATCCTTCAGTAAATTAGAAAGCAATCCTTATTTGTTGCAAAACCTACTGATGTCATTGTTTACAGGATTTCTAAACTTCCAGTGAACACTGTTGGGGCCTGATTTCACCATAAACTGTCTGTGACCAATTGCTGTTCCAAAGATTTCAGACAGTGAAAAGAATCAGAAGAGTTGTCCAAGAGCCAAGGATCACTTGTGGAGGGCTTCAGAAAGACATATAATTAGCAGATACAATTGTTTCAAAAAAAAAAAAAAAAAAAGTAATGCACTCAACTGCCATGGCCAGTATGCATGTTCCCCATGCAAGACACCATTGCTGAAGAGAAGAAAAAAAAAAATCTGCTGCAATCTACCAGGATGAAGATGAAAGGAGGGTGGACATTTCAGCAAAACACTAATCTCAAACAAAGCCAAGAAACTCAAAACTTGTTTCAAAGAAAATAGAGCTGCTAGAATGGCCTAGCCAATCACCTGACTTAAATCCAATAGAAAATCTATGGGAAGAAATAAGATTAGAGCTCATAGAAGAGGCCCACAGAACCCTGAAGATTTGAAGACTGCTTGTGTAGAAGAAACCCGCCACACCTGATCAGTGCATGTGACTAGTTTCTCCATTCTCCATACAGGAAGGGTCTTGAAGCTGTCATTACCCACAAAGGGATTTTGTACAACATATTTAATACATTTCAGCTAGCGTGTTCAATACTTTTTCCCTGTGTCATTCCATTTTATTACACAATGCAATTTCTGGACCTGTTTTGGTTTTCTTAATATGTATGGATTGCATGGGTTGTGATCAAGATGTGGTGAAAATGTCATGTCAATAGCACCTTTAAAAAATATATTTCCTGAGAAATGGCGACTTATAGTAAACACACGAAACATAGGTTTCCACAAGCCGACTTACCTGACACCAACAACATCGACGTTGAAGTTCTTGGCCATTTCAAGCAGGCGTCTACATGATTTTAGGGGAGCACCAAACTTCACACTGAGGGCAGGCAGAAGACATGGAGTCATCTGTAGCTATGCGCAATACCATCCTGTTGGCAATAAATTTCTGCATCAGCTAGCTTTCTGGATCATTTAATAGTTTCATATAAAAAAATCAATGTGGATTTGACCAATTAGATAAAAAAATTCTCATATTATGGTAAGTACATACTTGGCATTTTGATGATTACGTGAAACCTTGGACAGCTCCACTTCATTGTCAAAGGTCATCAGTTGGACACCATTCTTAGCAGCATACTTAATTTGGGATATTTGCTTACAAGGGTTAGCATAAATTATGTTTTCTGGTGTCACACCAATACTTTGGACTAGCTCAATCTCAGTCTGCAAAAAAAAAAAAAAAAAATATATATATATATAAATAAAACCACATTTGTATCTTTCCATTTCCTCCCCCTTAATCATGTGACAAACCACCACATAAAAATCCAGCATTACCTTACTGGCACAATCAAATCCAGCACCCAGTTCAGCCAGAGTCTGCACCACGCCCATGCTGCTGTTGCATTTGACAGCATAGAAAGGTTTTACCCGAGGTAGGGCCTTCAGGAAGCGGATGTGTTTTTTCACTACATCCCCCAGATCTGCAACAAAGAAAGCATCTCTGTCCTCCTGTAAACAGAGGAATATGAAAAAAGTAAATAACTAGGAGCAAAGTCGATTGAAATTTGTTCTGTGTTTACAATGACTTCACCGATACTACTTTTGGGGAGTTTATAATTACATGAAATTCCGTAAATCACTCAAGATTTCCATTTTAAAAAAAATTATGCAATGCTACAAAATGCTAGGAGAGCCTTTAATCAAAGTCTGCAAATCTGGTATTGACATGCCTGAGAACACCTGATAAAGGCTTCATTTGACTCCAGAAAACCACAGCTCCATTTCATAGCTGCTCACCAACTCTCCAGTGACTGACATGTGTTCAGAACTGCATCCAAGGGGCAGCACAGAACTTGGAAGACAAGACTACAACTCACCTCCCAGACCTCTGAGAAGCCCATGGATTCTAGCTTAAATCATTTTACATAAAACGAAGTATAGTCAGATGAATGAACTTTCTGACCTTAGCAAAATCACATCAGCAGATAATGTCAACTGTACATTGTTTTAACATGCTGCCTTGAGTGATCTTTTAAGGGAAACATGTAAAAAGGTCAATGGAGTAAAATTAAAGTTTTAGGATTGCAGTGTAAACTCAGCAGTTGTAAAGACCGCCCAGTGAAATATTTTATCAGCATACATTACTTATTACCATAATTTAATATATAAAATAGTACTACATACAATAAAGGAGTTCTAGTATTATAGCCTATAACATTTTTGGCTAAATAAAAATGGTGGCACTATTAGTTGTAGTTTATGTATGCATAGTTACATTGGTCCAGTGTGGACCAAGCAAGTATGTATGCATCATATCTAAACGATTGCCATTAGAAGCTAGAAACATGTTTTAGACACCAACTACTACAGTGATTGTAGCTAACTTCTGGGTTCTATGCCAAGCGTCTGCACTGAGGAGATCGCTTGCTTGATATGGGCGCCATACAGAAAACACTTTGAATTCTCAATGAATGCACATTGTCTTGATTGGACAAGGTGGAGTGGGCAGGCATCACAATCTTCAGCCAATCAGAACACTTTGCAATCATTAACACAAAAAACAAACAAGCAAAGTGCTTTCTGAATGGCGTTTGTGCCAAGCGTGTGATCTCCTGTGCGCCTAAAGTAGGACAGCCACTCTGCATAGCACCCCAAAGCTAGCAGCAATCACCAAAGTACTGGTGTCTACTACAGTGATTTCCAGCTTCCACATGGATTGGCCTAGTATGACACATGTATATTTACATTGGTCCAAGCTGGGAAACTATTAGTTTAAATAAAAATGTCACTCAAAAGCGAGTGTAGCAAAGAAATGATTAGCAAGCAAATTCTTATGAAATACGTACAGTCTTGGAGACATGGTTAATGATTTCCCCCATCAAATCTCTGGCAGCAAAGCCTTCCTCCACCATGATGAAGTCTGATTCTTGGATGTGTTGAGGCATTGTGATGCGCTAATGGGAGTCCTACCAAACTTCTAAATATGTAGTTTAGAAGTATGCAGCAGACTGGAAGAGAAAGATATTTCAGGTTAGAAGATCTAACTAGTCAAGGAAAGTACATAAAAGTATTGAATAACAGCACAAAAAACAAACAAACTTCATTTTAGTAAGGCCATACCACTGCTTATAAATGTTCCCCACAAGTTTCCTTGCTTAATGGTCAGCAATTCTACCCATACAGGCAGGTAGATTTTTCACTAGTGCCTTCAAAGTCCATTGAGAACAAGCCATCAAGCAGTTATAGTTCATTCAATCACAGAACTCTGAATGAATGATGCTGCTGGGTAGGTGAAGGCCCGGACAGCCACACTAAATTGTGACAGCGGGTGTAGGGAGAAGATCACCTGTTCGCTGTCATGACAGGGTCCTGGAGTGTGTGGGGCTGCTGATTTAGTAACAGGTTCCCACATGAATATGGGTGCAACGTGTTATGAAAGGTGAACTTATCCTTTAACGGCTTCCCGTCTGCCCTATAGCAGTAATACTGCTACAGAGTCGGACACGCACTTCACATTTCTGGGTAGCTTCCGCTATTCGTGGCCTCAGCTGTCAATCACCGGGTCCTGGCCAGTGATTACTTGCTGGCACCCAGTGATCAAGGAGCATTACTGGAGGGAGAGAACAGTAAATAAACAATACAGTTCTCTCCCCTATCAGTTCCTGCACACTGCTATGCATGGCTTTGCATAGCAGAGCCATACAAAGCAGTGTGCTTACAGTGAAGCACTCACAGCACAGTTAACCCTTTGATTGCCCCACATGTTAACCCCTTCCTGCCCAGTGTCATTAGTACATTGTCAGTGCTTTTTATTAGCACTGATCACTGTATTGGTGTCACTGGGGATGTCAGTGACATGAAGTTAGTCCCCCCAGTGTCAGAATGCCTGTTGCAATCCCACAGACTTGCTATAAGTCACTGATCACCACTATTACTAGTAAAAATTAAAAATCCCAGTGTATATATACTGCCATTTGTAAACGCTATAAAACTTTCACGTAAACCAATTTACACGTACTGGGATTTTTAACAAAGACATGTAGCAGAATATATTTTGGCTTAAATTTGACAAAATTAGATTTTTTATTGGACATGTTTAATAGCAAAAAGTAAAAAAAAAAAGTTTTCAAAATTTGTTTTTATAGTACAAAAAACAAACCATAAATTTCATTCTCAAGGGCAAGTGGTTGAGTAGGGTGTACTCAAACACTTCACAGACATGCCGGTAGGTTAATTGCTACTAGTAGGATATTCTACAGTGTGCCCAAGATGGCTGTGTCACCTGCCTCCAACACAAATCTGGTAGGTGCTTTGAGTGACCAGGAATAAAAGCACTATACCAATAAGTGCATTGAGAGAGCTGTACTGTACATTCCTTGCCAGTGCACCATTTACTGCTGGTGGGTCTCCTATATAAAAGCATGAAACCGGATATATAAAATAATGTATCCCCCCCCATGTAGATGTACACATTAGCCAAGGAGGCCGAACACACAGATAACGTGTTTTACACACAATTGGGAGCATGAACTATCTAGTAATTCATCTAAAAACTGCATGTACAATTTGTCATTTAAGTGCAGTATTGTCTTAAAGGTCCACAGAAATGGAGTACAACAGTAGCAGATACTGAGCACTATTGGTATAGACCAGGGGTCTCCAAACTATGGCTCTCCAGCTGTTGAAGTACCACAAGTCGCATCATGCCTTTAAGTCTTGCAAGGCATCATGGGACTTGCAGGGCCATAGTTTGGAGACCCCTGGTATAGCGCTAAATTAACAGTGACCAGTAAAGTAATAAAAATTGGCAACGATTATGGCAATGTTATCCAGAGTAAAAAAAAATAAATATATATTATCCAGAGTAAGTCTGGATAACATGGTCATCCTTGCCAATTTGTAATTCTTTACTGGTCACTCTCCTATGGTTTATTGAACAACTGTGGTTATAGCCTTTACAAGCTACAAGACCTAATTTTTGGTTATAAGCGCCCAAGAAGATTGTCTAATTGTTTTAGAAAAAAGGACTACATCATTTACATGTGGATTCAATGGAAAAAAAAAAAACCTCCATGCATTTTCAGCTTATTTTATGGGGGCAGTAACCTGCTTTGCTAAAAGATTCAGAAGTCATCTGAAATCTGACAGCAGCTGGCCAGTCAGTGGTGACCTTTGACTTCCTGGTCAAACAGCTGATGTGTCAGGCTGTGGCCAAACACTATGATCTCTTCCGATCAGGGGCAGACTAACAACTCATGGGGCCCCCAGGCAATAGGGTATCATGGGGCCCCTGTGTCCTTGCCCAAATTCAAAAAAGCCTATGAAAAAAAGTGTACCAGGGGCATCTCATGGAGCCCCCTACTGACCCCAGTCCCTTGGGCAGTGCCTGAGTTTCCAAATGGTCAGTCCGCCCCTGCTTCCGATAGGAATGATCAATGTATAATTGGCAGCCCAATCAATCAATAGACCACATGCAATCTCATAATCTGATTGAAACACCAATATATCTTAGTGTTGCTGACTGGCCAATCAACACATTTTGATGGAATGGAAGTTCTGGCAATTCCATATATAAATATTGGGGGGGAAGCATGTACAGACAAGATATATACACACACCGATCTACATAGACTTTATAGTAAGCAAAGTCCAGTTTGTCATTTCCATTCCTGTATGCCCCAACAATGACTGCATGGCTGGGACACGGTGTGTAAATGTCAGTGTATTTATGAAAACATCGATTTGGTGTGTGGTAAGCAGTGACCTGCCCTAGCTCCTCTGTCATCACTTACCCCGCTCTCAGAGGGCCCAGGGAGGCTCTGCGATGAATTCGGAGGACTTGAAGCTCCCTGTGCTAGCGATGTCGCCGCATGTGGCGTCCTGTGTTCTCTGCTGGAAGACAAGGAGATGATCGGTCAATGGTGTCAGGATCGGACCATCCTCTGGTGCCCAGCCAAGGTAGGTACTGGCCACCCTTGCTGATCCCAGCCCGGAGCCCCGCTTACCTTAACACGCATTGACACGGCCGATTCCCATTAAGATCGATAAGAAGTGGTAAGATTACGATCTAGCTCACAGCCAAGTCCTCTCCGCAGTGTTCCTTCAGTGTCTGTTCTAGACCAGCGCATCCTTCTTATATACTTCTGTGACAACCATTATAGGTGATGTCATGCTGTTTCCAAGCAACTAGTCATCAAAACATTCCTGCCTCTTCCTGGCCCTTCCCATATCCATTGACATTCTGGTATATTCCGGAGATGCTCGGGTGAGCGCCCTGCGCAGTTCGGGGGCGGGGCAGCAGCGGGGACAGGAAATGAGGTGTCTCAATAGAAAGGGCACGTGATAATGACTCATATACCGGGATTTTTGTGAAATCTCACATGTTGGGTGGTGAAATCTTGACGTGCCTGTTTATTTTGTATTAGAATCTGTAGATTTCATATGATTTCCTCCCCCCACCTGCCTCTTCCTCTGAGATCTCCGTCAAGATCAATGGTACAACTATCAACCCATCCCTGCATGCCAGGGTGCTAGGTGTAACCCTGGATTGTGAACTATCCTTTTTTACATTTTGACTGGAACTCTGCTTTAAGCTGGTCATGGATCTACTCTTGACTAGTTTAGCAAGGACCGGCCAAGATTCAATCCATCTTTGGGCAGGTTAGTTGTACTGTACTCGATTCCTTGATTGACTTCAGTACAACCAGCCTGTCAGATTTTCTTTCATGTGATTACTACCAGCAGCTATAGCCGCTAGCAGTAATCATTGTGTTCTGCCGACAGGAAAGGCTCCCTGCTGGCAGAACACAGTAGCACTGCGGAGGGATTCCCTCATCAGCCCTGACTGTTGACAGATGGAAGGAAATAAAACGACATAATCTATGGGCTGATTTAGACTGTCTACTGTGCCAGAGTGGATGGATGAAAATAATGTGCCTGGCTGCCTTGCACTGATTAGGAAAAGAACCTAGCACTACATTAGCAATCTGTTACTGATAATAAAGAGACCATAAGGCAATTTTTTGCTAGTTATGTCACCACTGACAATGCAAATGGAGCCGCTTCGTCTGCCCCTACGGTAACCCTTTTCAATGCCCAATTGAAGGGATGGGTTAGACAACAGCACTGTCTTGCACAAAACAAATAAACACTTCCAGCGCATAAAGTTCTGCCTCAGACTTTACTTGTACAGTGGATTATCAAAAGCAATGAAATAACATCCTGTAGGAGTGCTTCGTTGATGTAGCTCCCCTCAGATTGGGAAATGATTGGGACCTGTCTTTTATACAGGTAACAAAGAGATTAGCAGCACTCCCTTTAAGAGACTGCTTCTAATCTCAGCTTGTTACCTGTATGAAAGACATCTGTTAGCCAGAAATCCTGCTGACTGATAGGGGATCAAATACTTATTTCCCTCATGAACATGCAAATCAGTGCATAATTTGTTAGACATGCATTTCTTTTAAATTTTTTGTTGCTATTCTGTCTCTTAGTGTTACAATACACCTACCATTCAATTTTTAGACTGATCATTTCTTTGTGAGTGGGCAAACATTCAAAATCAGCAGGGGATCAAATACGTATTTCCTTCACTGTATGTATGTCATATAACGCCTGTATATGTTTATTTTTGTGAGTATCCATTTGGCGGTATGTTTTTTGTTTTATGCAATAAACATTCAGTAATGCACTAGGCATGTTCTCCCTCCTGTTGCTATGCAAAAATGCACTGTCCTGCCTAGATCCCCAATTGATTTTAATCCATTTCTGGCTATCAAAGCAGAAATAAACCCTCCTATTCTTTACAGACATGGAAGCTGCCATTTTAGCCTCTGTTTGGTGATCTGTAATTGCCATGGTGCTGCAGCATGTTCCTCCTGCAGCCTCTGAATGTTAGCAGGAGGGAGAGGAGGAGAAGCCAGCATTCAGAGGCTGCAAGGGGAAC